ATTATTTGTGTTTTGTATCTTTAAAGAGAAAAAACCATTACAGTTTTCAAAGGGACATCTTTGATTTTTAAAGGAAGAGATATACTAAAACTCAAGTAGTGGTTGGTGTCTCTTAAGTGATGAGTTGGAAAGTTTCGAATAATTTTGCCCCGAGGTGGGCAAATTTAAGGGAAGTTGGGCCGTTTTGATATCACTCCTTTTAAACAATGAATCAAAACGTGTTCCAGACCATTATACCTTTTAAGTATTTGATTTTTTTTAGGAAAAAACTTTGCGATGTATATTGCATAGGTATTAAGGGGGAAATTGGGCCGTTTTGATATCACCTACTTTTAAATGATGAATTCAAACGGCAGAGCTATCGTATGTTTTTGGTATAATTTGTTCTTAAAAAAATAATCAGAGAGTTTTTTGGGATTGGGCCGAAATTTTGTACAAAAATCTATTTTTGTTTTTTTGGAAGGATTCTCACTTTCATCTAGATGCTTAAATCGACCATTATTTGGCTTTTTATCACCATATTTTTTTTTACTATACCATTATGGTCAATCCCACTTCCACTTTTTTTTCAGTGAAGAGGATCGGTAATTAATGTTCACCCTTTCGCACCGTTAAATTTTCACAAAGTGTTTTGATTTTCATTTCAAGGAGTGTTTTTTATTTTTCAAAGATGTTTCTTTTTCTAGAAGTAGGTGGTTATTATTATCAGTTTCTTATTCTTTGTTTTTGAATTTATCATTTTTCCTCCAGGAAGTCCTCTAATTACTCGTAGTAGCAAAATTTGGCTCGCGAAGCGAGCCAACATTCACTCGCGGAGCGAGTGACTGGGGGTCCAGGGGGCGAAGCCACCGGCTAGCGGCGCAAGCGAGCGTAGCGAGCTGAAGCAGCTAGTTATATTATTATTCTCCTTTGATAAATTGATACATATTTTTTCCCCATCAACTTAAATGAGAATAATCAATGCAGAGTGTGCAAACATTTCAAAATCCTGAGTTAAAAAACGCTGACTATGCGAGTATATATATTAAAGCCTAAGAGAGCGGAGCAGCGGCGTGCTGCCAGCGCGAGAGGCTCACTGGCGCCTACAAACCTAAGTGGATACTTCACGCATTGTACAATGCTTCAAGTATCCACTTAGGTTTGTAGGCGCCAATGCGCGTTCCGCACTGGCGGCCGGCCCGCCGTGCGGCGGCGCCTGAAGCAACTATTTCACAACAGAGGTGTTGCACAGTATTATACGAAATTGAACGTATTAAGAATGATAGGCATCCTTTAAACGTACAGATTTTTCCTCCCAAAATAAATCAAGATACTTATCGTACACAGGAAAAATCTAAGAGCCTTTAGCTGAGGCAAATATAGAAGTTTATCCGGTTCAGGTATATCAAGGTGGGAATTTCTTGAAAGATAATTAAGTCCTGTTACACCAAAGAGGTGTAGAGAGTTTTAGTGAATTTTGTCTCATGGAATTGACGCTCCCCCATTTTTACCAAAACTCTCAACTATATATTATTCTCCGTTGGACCAAACAGACAAAACAAAAAAACAAGCAAACCCTCATTCTTCAGACATCATATATTTTCATCCAAAAACGTCGTGAGATTGTCGTTTGTATTTACATGTGGGCCAGTTTACTTTGGGTCTCAACTGGCACGTGGACCAAAACTCCCGTGCCGAAAAAATGCGTGGACGTAAATTACTGGAAAAAACAGGTGCGCGGACAAAAAATCGTTGACGAAATGTCCTATAACCGTAAAAATACCCTTTCCCTATCTTGGCCTGCGTTGATTTTGGTTTTTTTGTGTGTCAATTGAGTTTGTATGCACCAAACGTTGATTTTTCACTTATAAGCGTATTTTGGTGGTTCATTAATTCATTATGTGTTCGAAGTGACTTTTTGATGAGGAAATTTTTTTTCAGAACATTCTAATTCTGAAAACAGTCTTAGCCCATTCTTAATTTCAGATATTCAGATATGATCGACTTGCCTTAAACCAAGTCCCGAAATGAGACAAAATGTGCCACGACTTTGAACTTTGGCATAGTGACTCTTCATAGCTCCTAGTTACACCTCCTAGCGGTGGAACCCGAATCGTTAATATCATCGTTGCCAAGCTACAGCAAAATTCCGTTTTTTTTTGGGTCCCTTCTCGTATCTAATAAAGTAATTTTGACTTTTCTTACCTCGATCATTTCTTCGACGATCTCTTTTTCACTCTCCAAAAGTGAAAAATAAAACTTGATACAGTTTTTGGGGATAGCATTACGGATTTGTTTTTCGTTGAATCTGCAAACGCAGTTACCCTCCACGCAGGCGCCGATGGCCCATGGAGAGTTGAGCAAAGCCAGCTTCCCGTGTGCGGTGCTACAGTGAACATTGCAGCCCTTCAACCCACCCAACTCGCACAGACCATCACTATGAACTGTAGGAATAAAGGAGATAATTAAAAAGAGCTAAAAAGTTTTTTCAGGGGGAAAAATCGATGGCGCGGACCACTAAACAGGAAAATTCCACCCCCTGACAGACATTTCATTTTTTATTTTATTTTTTATACTCAAAATTTTAGATAGAAACCTGTTCTGCCGTGCTAAGGAAGAACTCCATTTGAGCCTTCAGGCGTTGCCAAGTTTCCTTCCAAAAAACCGAATTCATTGAGAAAATTGTGAATATTATTTTTCCAAACACATTGGACAATTTTTTACGCAATTACATTCACAATATCTGAAAATTTCAAAGAAAAATGTGCATAATTTTCGTCAAAAATACATGTTTTATCAAGGGAAATTTGGCAACTCTGGAATTGTCGCACAGCGTTCATCCTTAGCACGGCAGTATTGGCCTTGCCACAGATCATGATGTTATACGTATTTAACGACAATTACCAATTCACTCTATTATTAATTAACGGCAACCTACGAGAGACCCTTTACAGTAAATCCATCATTTTTTCCCTCTCTCTAAGTCTATAGGAACCTGGAACCACCCATTTTAACCAATAGTACCGCTCTTTGCTCCCATGTCTTCTTTGTCTAGCGCTTTGTCTATCAATTTCAACACTCAGTACGGAGGACCAATTTACTGACCAAAGCCTCACACAGAATTTTGGGAGCCCGTTGGCAAAATTACCAACCCTTCAAACTGACATCCAACAACATTGTAAACAAAATGAATCCAATCTTCCCGCTCTCAAAACAACCATAATCAACAAGTGAAAATAGTCATCTAAAGAAACCTGCACATCAGGTAAACAACACGAGCTTCGGTTGTACATGCATTTCATTTCCTTTCTGATAAAAGGAACCTCTAGGCTCTTCCACAAAAAGTCAGCAAAGATGGGAAATTACTCTATTGTGAAATATATTATACTGAAATTGAACCGACCGTTGGAAAAGGGGCTATGTGAAATTTTTTTTGAAAATGAGTTTTTGCATGGAAACGACTCTCCATGCCATGACATATAACCTGTGAAAATATTAAGGGGACAAAACATGCAAATCAGACCAAAGTTATAAAAAAACATGCCAAAATCAGACAAAATTATATTTAAAATTTCTTCTTATAGATATCTTGAATTTAATAGTGAATATCCCGCAAAAGTTACAGCCTCCGAGTTATAAAAAGCATCTGTTGTCACACTTCTACACTGATAATGAGGAAAAGAAATACTTCCAGATATTCTGTTAATTTTCCGGAAGCAAAAGCGTATACCTCAAGAATTCCTATCGATTTGAAAAAAAATGAACGGCATTTCAAAGTGCCTCCAATATTCCGGATGAGCACAAACGTTTTTATGATGAAATAATGAAATGGGCTGCATTTTGCAATTTGGAACTTTAAATTCTGAATCATCCGAAAAAACACTCATGTGCATAGTCAAACTAATGGCGCATACGTTGTTTTTAAAACCGGGCCAGAATTTATAGTTCCAAATTGCAAAATGCAGTCCAAATGGCCAACTGTCCAATGGCTGAAAGTCACATTAAGAGTGACGATCAACCTTAAAAAAAGAGGTGCCCTCTTCAATAAGATATTAACATCACCATGTCCAAACTGCTGTAAAATTGGACAACATGTGATCCTTATTTATTTCTCATGTTGTTCCTTATTTACTAGCTTATAAAATTATAATAAAGAAATGAGCTTATACTTGATTTTCTTGTCATTTTTCCATAAAAACCTCTGTAAAAAATTCAAAATGTGGGAAAATAGTTAAATACAAATTTGTAAAAGCTCCAAAACTTGAAAATTTCAATCTAGGTCATTCAAAATTTCACAAATGGATACTAACTAGTTCTATGACACGTATTTTTGTTAAATTTTTTCCGTCAGTAATTTCTATAAATTAAGAGGTTGTGTCTCCTGTAAAATTTCAATTTTTTAACATAGCCTCTTTTCCAAAGGTCGATTCAATTAGTGAGAACTACCAAAATTGGACTCGAGTACTGCCGTGTTAAGGAAGAACGCCGTATGAACCTTCGAGAGTTGCCAAATTTCCCTTGATCAAAGATGTATTTTTGAAGACACTCATACATACTTTTCCTTGAAATTTTCAGATATTTTAGCTTAAATTGCGTACAAAATTGTCTGAAAATTTTGGAAAATAATTTCCGCAAGTTTCCCAGTAAATTTGGTTTTTATTTGAGGAAACTAGGGTACGTCTGAAGGATCATACGCCGTTCTTCGTCAGCACAGCAGAGTAGACTCCTCTTTTTGGACTGCATTTTGCAATTTGGACTTATGAATTCCGGCCCGGTTTAAAAACAACGTATGTGCCATTAATTTCCCTATGCACATAAGTGTTTTTTCAGATGAGCCAGAATTTAGAGGTCCAAATTGCAAAAAAGCAGTCCTCTTGGGAATGAGAGACGGACATTGCCGTACGTAAAACACGCCTCTTCCTAACTTTTGTGTTTTTTGCTAAGTTTAAATGCGAATTTTATCCATCGTGTTGCACGCAGACTTTTTCTACGAAAAAAATTTATTGCGATGTTAAATTTCATAGACTGTCTAGTAGTTCATTAGTTGAGGAGGGAAAACTGTCGCGAAAATGTTCATCGAAATTGGTAGGAGCGAAAGAAATTAATGGATCTCGCGGAGAAAATTGAACAGCCTGTCTGATAACGCTCATCATCAGTGGCGTGGCGTGCTTTGCGATATATCGATTGATGCGCCACTCAAACCTATGAAAAAAATCGATTATCAGGGTGTTTGCAGCGAACACCTTAGTAATCGATTCTTTACCTTAGCTTTAAATGGCAAGATATCGATAATCGATTATTCACGCCACGCCACTGCTCATCATACAACTCGTCATTCCACAGAAAACCGGGGAACATACGAGCAAAGCAATTTCCCGAGAGGAGACACTATTTTCAGAGAAAAAACCGTATGCAGAAAAAAATAGCCTCGTTTTATTTCCAATTTCTGCTCTACGTATTCAGAGAAGCAATGTAATGCCGAAATTACGAAGAAAATAGGTGATTGAACAATATATGAACTAGAGCAACGCGCCAAATTTTATTTTATGCCTACGAAAGACAAAAATCTTTAAAATCGATCGCGTATAAAAACACTTTTATCGATGGAATACGCAAATTTTTGACAAACCTTCCGTCCTCCGTTTTTTACACAAAAAATAAAAAAAAATAAAAAACGGGTAACAAGGCTAAAATTTTACACACACAAAACCAAAACGTTTCGGCTGAAAATTCAAGCATTCTCAGTTGGATAAACCAAAATAAAAATGGTTAAAAAAATGGTAAATGGTTGAAAAATGGTGAATGGTTAAAAAATGGTAAATTGTACCTGATAAGTACTTTTCAATTACTTATCAGGCACTTATCAGGTACGGCTTTAGATTTTTAACCATTTTTATTTTGATTTATCCAACTGAGGATGGCTGAATTTTCAGCCGAAACGTTTTGGTTTTGTGTGTGTGAAATTTTAGCCTTGTCACCCGCTTTTTAAATTGTTTTTTTATTGCATATCTTGTCACGGGCTGCAGAGCATCTATCATATTTCATGTTTTTGACAAACCTCACGTCCTTCGTTTTTGACAAGTCCTCGCCGCGACAGGTGCGTTGGAGCGTATTTTATGTGCGCATTCAAACAGTCGTTGGCACGTCAAAAGTTGTAAATACGTCAAAATCCTTGAAATTGTCGACCATAGGCACGCAACTCGTGGAAAATTCTACAGAAATTGACTATGCGCACCCCTGTGCGGATGTTTTTCACCGCGCAACTTTCGAGGGCGTGCCAAGGGTGCCCGAGGGTGGTTTTGCGCGTCTTAAAGCCATTTGATGCGTCTTAAAACTGTTTGAAGCGTCTTAAAGCTGTTTGAGGCTTTCTACGTAAAGATACGTAAAAAGGGACGAAATTATTGCCCTCTAAAACCGTTATTCAAAAATTTCTCCAGCAGGGAATGAAAAGTCACAGTCCTCCTACAATGCAATAGAGAATTTGCAGGTGTCTGAAATTTGATGAATCTCGTGTTTAAGTGGAAACTACTGAGTGAACTGAACACGAGGATATACTTGGTTCATGAATTGAACAATTGAGGACACCGCACCAAGAACAGCCTATAGGCGCATAGGTTGTTATTGCGCCCATCTGCTTTTCGGTTTCTACGTACCCTGGACTATGCTGTGGTAGCGATAGAATATATATATATATATATATATATGGCTCGAGGTCGAAAAACCTTTTTTTTTCCCGAGTTATGTCAGGCCACTGGATCGATAGGTTTTTCTCAAAACGCGGTTTCAAGTTATAGGCTGTTCTTGGTGCGGTGTCCTCAATTGAAAAAGCCTTCATGCACGCTGGGCTTGTCAATTTCCTTTGAAATTTTTGCAGTGGTGAATGCATAGCTGAAGTGCGCTCCAGCTACAATTGTATTTAGCAAATGGGTAATTTTTATACGAGGATTAAAAATAAACAAGTGGTACGGAGTCTAACAAAAGAATATGAACGATGCAAAACGATAACCCAGGTATCGGAACTTGGCTGTTTTGAAAACGCCTTCAAATGCGGCGTGATACCTCACGCATTCCGGAGAGATCAAATAGTTGTATCATTGCGCCTTAGGAATGCGACGGAAGATTACAATTGAGGACACCGCACCAAGAACAGCCTATAGGCGCATAGGTTGTTATTACGCCCGTCTGCTTTTCGGATTCTACGTACCCTGGACTATGCTGTGGTAGCGATAGAATATAGATAGGTAACGGCTCGAGGTCGAAATACCTTTTTTTTCCGAGTTATATCAGGCCACTGGATCGATAGGTGCAAGAACGACCTATAAGCGGGCCTATAAACTTAAGGGCCTATAAGTTGCTACTTATCCCTTTCTTTACTCACCATCGATATTCTTTCATTTTGCGTTAATCATGCGTGATTAAAATGATTTATACTTCATATTGCCACCAAAATGACTGTTGGGCGTAATAATGGCCTAAAAACCGCTTTTTTAAATCAAATATATTGGAGTGTAAACCTAAAATGTATCGCAAAACCTACCCGGCATCCTTCAATAGAAGGGTTAGGTCACCAAAAAACACCAAAACAGGGTACCTGCATAGAAAAGTCCGCGCAGTACAACAAAAACAAAACTTGAAATGCGTTTTCCTCAAAACGCGGTTTCAAGTTATAGGCTGCAAGTTATTCTTGCTGCGGTGTCGTCAATTATTGGAGAAGATATGACAAAATGATCTAATCTGCTAAAACACGTGCGTTTAAATGGAGAATGCCGCCAGATGACGTCACTAGGCGGTGCATTTTCTCACTTTTAAATCTGTTTTAATACTATATTTCCCACATCAGACAAAAAGTATAAAAAATACTGCGAAATCAGTTCTTTAAGTACTTTTCGATGAAGCAATAATACATTTTCATGAAAATTCTCCATTTGGACTTGCGCCCTTAAGGGCGCCAAGACACGGGTAATTTTTTCATCTTTTCAAAATCCTTCATGCTGGTGTTAACTTACATTTTATAGAACACTTAAAAAACTCAGCGTTGTGAGATTTCTCAAAACTCAAAAAAAAGCCCCACCTTAACTTTTGGTTCATGTGGGAGTGGAGCACAAGCTAACTCAATGCTTTGGTTGATTCTAGAGCTCCCCGGGTTTTTTCATCGTTGTCTTTGCTATTGGTAATATTTGCTGGAAATATTTATAACTCTGTATTTTTTTACTCTTTTGTATACATAACTGACGTGATAGCGAAGAGAGCAATAAGTGCAAAAATGAATGTTCGAGGAAACTGGCTCAGAGGCCTCTGACCGGAAAATTTTATTCAAAGAAGCATCCGTTCTTTGTCGAATTGCCACTAATAGCGAAGAGAGCAGTAAGTTCTGAAGTGAAGCTCTGAGAAAACGGGCTTGCAGAAGCGTCGGACCGGAAAATTTTATTGAAAAACGCCTCCGTTCTTTGTCGAATTGCCACTAATCACCCGCAAGACTCCTAGAAATCGCTTGGATGATTAAAAATCGACCAATTTTATTTCAAATACATAAAAAGGGAATTTTTCATTTTCATGCTAGGCTATTGTTAGGCAAGACAGCCGTAAATGCTGTCTTCTATATGTTTTCGTGGTTACGTTATGGACACACAACAAACACATTTTCGGGTTAAAAATTGGCAGAAAAGGGTGACACTTTAATTGAAAGCACTGTTTTTATTGATGATGTAGCATCGCATCCAAGATATTGGACTCCATGCTCACCCTTATGATGCTCGCTTGCTCATCACGCCCAATATCTCGGACTCCATGTTCACTTTGATGAGAGATATATATTCTTTGAAAAATTATTATGAGCATAGCGTCCAAAATAATTGGGTGTAGATAATATTTGACATCATACGAGCATAGCGGCCAATAATTTATAAAAAACAATTTTGCTGAAGTAAGTACGAAAACTGTGTCTTCCATTATTAGCAAACTGTGCGCTAGGAAGGTCTGGTTAAGTTAGTTAAGTTCGGTTAAGTCAAGCCAAGTTAGATTAGATACATAAGAAAAATATGCGATTTTCTATTATGATGGGGAGTGAATGGACATTAAAAAACTGAGGGAGGTGTCCTTGCTATTGGACTCCATGCTCAAGCAAAGAAATGAAAAGTTCAGCGATGAGCGTGTGGTCCAAGATCTCGAACGAGATGAGCAGACAAGTAGTTCAAGGGTGAACGTGGAGTCCAATATCTTGGACGTGATGCTACATAACCTTTTTATTGGCTCTACGGAAGAATAATGTCACTTACTGCTCTCTTCGCTATCACGGCAAATGAGTCGAATTTGTTTGAATCTTACCTTCGAGGAGCAATGAGAAGTAAAACGAGATCAGGAGGTAGATGGTGCGAGGGCCCCACATATTCACTGTGAACGTATAAGGAAGATTCTTACGGATAAAACCTTTGGCCGGGAGGAGGGGGAAAATGACGGTGTGCCAACGTAGAATCGCATGTCCAATTGTTTTCCTCGTAGACTTTCAGGATTCTGAAGCCGTGTGCAATTACCGAAAAGTCACATCTTCAGAACATGATTACGATTAAAGTCATGCTAAATGCGCACACCGGCGTGTAAGGTAAAAGTTAACTGCGTTTAAAATCGTGACATCGACAGAGAAACTTTTACCTATGAATTTCGTTTTTTTAGTCTGGTCGTATATTCCTAGATTTTAATATGAAAATTGCGACCACCACTCGTGAAATGAACCACAAACTGCCTATCCACGCGCGACATTGCCTAATGTCCCTCGCGTTTCATTATTTCACATCGAAACGAATCATTGTCCTGCTTAAAAATGTTTATTCATATTCTCTAGCCAAGAGGGGAAATCCGCAGAAAGTTTCTAGGCATTGCTCAGATTTCCTCTAAATTAATGATATATGGGTGGAGATTAGGTAACACGAAATGCAGCCAGGCTGACTTTAGTCGCCACATGCGTCAGCGGTGAGGCGTGAATGATCGATTATCGATATTCCCCCATTTGAAGCCGTGGTAAAGAATCGATTATTGAGGTGTTCGTCGCGAACACAACGTTAATCGATCCTTTTCTATAGGTTTAAAGGGCAGATTGATCGATATATCGCAAAACACGCCACGCCACAGAGATTAAGGCAAAACGGGGAAAAAATGAAAGGCCACATGGCAACCTTCAATGAAAAAAAATCAGAAAAGCACTTACACAAGGCGTGAGCGTTGTAAACTTTCCGTCTGGCTTCATTTTTTTTCAAAATGGGAAAGTGTTTGCCACTGGAGTGACACACAAGTGATCTGGAAATCATCCGTGATTTTTTATTTTTGCACACCGCAGATTTTATGGGGAGTTCAAACGACAAACACAAAAGAAGCAGAGGTATTGAAATCCTACATAGGCACCGGTAGGGCTGGATCCGTATGAAATACAGTGAGATGATGGAATGGGCCTATTTCAAACTTTTGCCAGAGCAAAAATAGAAGTTGTTTCTATGAGTGTGTATCGACGGCGTAAGTCGGCATTCACATAACTCGTCTGCGGTGTCTGAAAATCTCCGTTTCTATATTACTTTTTTAAAGGAGAACACATTTATTGATATCATTTTTTGAAGTTTTTGCAGAATTTTCCTCGCACAGAGAAGAAAAATCATGGCAGTTTTAAAAAATGCATGCCGTTGAGTAGTGTTTTGTTTGAAAAATAAAGTAAGTATGCAAGAAGACTGCGACGTCGCAAACCGAGTTAAGTAATTGCCGACTTACACCGTCGAACTGTCACTTATAAAAACTTCTGGATATTGTCGAAAATATCTTGCTCCTTATTTTTCCAATCATGTAACTTAAGAGATGGAGGACCTGACCACTTGAAATCTTTGTGATTTGTGCAATCGTTGACTCTCACTTACAGGAAGCTGGAGAGGGCTTTTGAATGCCCCGATAGTTCAGTAAGCAGGGGCATTTTTGACATCCCAAAAAACGAAGAGCGTTGCCTTGAGCATTATTTTTCATCCGGAAATGAAAGGATGTCATTGGCTCCAGTGCGGCGTGGCGTGAATTGCGAGAGAGGAAAAATCACGGTAATTTTAAAGAATTGCCGTTGAGTGGTTTGCCGTTTAAAAAATAAAGTATGACAGGAAGTCTGCGACGTCGCAAACCGAGTTTTGTGATTGCCGACTTACAACGTCGATAGGTATGTCTCAAAAATCACGATGAGCGCAGAGGCAAAGTTTGAAATGCATTCGTAACTTCATACTCTGTGTTTTGCGGTTTTTTTTTTTGAGCTTTTCGCCTCAGACACGATACTACGGCACATGTGAACATTGCGTTAGAGGAGTCGTTATATTCAACCATTTCGCAATAGCAATACCCAACATAACCGACGCTTCCGCGCGTAAATTGCAATCGGGAGAACAACCAAACTTGAATCGCTATTTCTTCTCATTTTCTACTAATGTTTGTTAAAATGAAACGCATTTAAATAAGGAAATTGTTGTTTTTTACTACAGATAACATGAATGAGATTTGAATCGTTTATTCTGAAAATACAGTTTCGGCTTCTCTATTGGACGTATTTCTGCCAAACGGAATTATGTGCTTTATGACGTGAGCCCTATTATGCATACATTCTTATGGGTCTCTGGGCTCATGTCTTAATGCACATAGTTCCGTTTAGCAGAAATACGTCCAAATTTATTAATGGTTGGAAGAATAAAAAAATAAGCCAGCTATCATGCGAGCGTTTGATAATAGCCCTCTAGGTGAGTCAAAGTAGAGTCTTCGACACTGATAGCACAGTCATGCGCGGAACTAGGAATTTTTCATGGGGGGGCTCAGGAGGGTATAGAACTTGGGCCAAGGGGGTCTGGGGGGACTCCCCAAATTGCAGAGAGGGGTATGGGGGGGGCCCTCATCGGAAAATGTTTGAAAGTTGGAACGTCTTGAGAGCAATTTTAAGCCATTCTCAATGACGAATTAAATGAAATTAAATATTACAGATGACAGAAAGTTTGCTGACTTGTGTTTAAAAATAGCATTTATTACTGTGGGTTTTAATTGAATTTAACTTAATTTAACTCTCATGGAAACAAGTACTGCGCTAAAATGCGTGAAAAACCACAACTGGATACGCTCAAACTACATTTCATGTTCCTTACTCGGAGGAAGCTGCTCTCCTTGCGAGAAATGTTCATCTTTTGACAACTTTAATTGATTATATTAGGATGAAGCTCATTTTTGTTACATTCTCTATGCCTTTTACCACAAAATTAATTCGTAGCTTGGGTCCTTGACATTTTTTTGAAAGGGCCGAGAAGAATTGTGGGGGATGGGGGCCTGGCCCTTCTATTTCCGCCCATGAACACAGTTACAACTACAATTTATGAGTTGACATTTAACTTTATGTTCTGATGTTGTTTAGAAACCTATTAGCATATGAGAAGTAGGATAAATAATCTGAGCAAAACGACGCCCTGTCGCTCTTTCTGAAAATTTGGCTACTCGCTCTAAGTTTCTTTTTCTCCCGGTGCACCCCTTGTTTACTCTCAGGTCCATTTACCTATTTTCCTGGAAAAAGTCACCTTTAAAAAGGATGGTTCTGACGTGTTTCACGTGCAGATATTGGGGTCCATTATCCTGCAGACAGACATTGCCAAAATATATTTGTTTGGCGGTTTCACACCTTATTTTCCTCTTCGAAATGAGTACTTTTCAACCAAATGCAGAAAACATCCACGTAAGCCTTAAACCTGGGCACTAGAGAAGTGATTGCGTGTACGAAATTTGAAATTTTGAAATTTTGAATTGTGAAAGACTCAGAAATGGATTCGAAGAAACGAGTCCGAGTGGAAAATCTCCAAGCTATTTTGCCGTGCCAAGAGAGAACGCTGTATAAGCGTCCAGACGCTGCCATATCTCCTGAAATGGACGTATTTATGCGAAAAGGAACTATGTTTATAGGGTTTGCGTGTGACATAGTTCCTTTTAGCATAAATACGTCCAAATGAAAAACGAATTTCCTGGGAAAATTGTCAATCCCTCTCCTCAAAATGGACGTATTTATGCTAAATGGAAGTATGTGCATGTGGAAAGATGGGCTCTGCTCGTTAGCTGAAGGCCGTAAGAATGAATGGGAATTGAAAAGCGCCGGTGACGTCATCAGCGGCAACGACCGAGAGTCGAGGGTGTTCATTTAAACACTCCAGTTTGATAACCGCAGCACCCTGGCCGAAAAGTTTCGGTTCACCAAATCACACCAGTCGTAGAAACTTACTCACTTTTTGATTCAAAGAGACACGCAGACTTCAGTGTCTAGAACTAGCTGCTGTAGTGTTTATTTGACCTGCATTTTGTATTTTAGCCTCGGTAAATGGGTCGCTCGTGTTCAAAAATCAGAGTGTGTTTGCAACGACCCGTGCCTATGTATATTAAAACTGTGCAAACAATTTGTCCGCCGTGACACGCCTAACACTATCGCTCGAAATTTTTAACGGTGCGCTTGTTCATTTTTTACTCGAACACTTGTTTTTCTCCGTTTGATCACTATGTGGTCGATTTTTGATCGTGAGGTATTCTTTGATCTGAAATGTACGGTACAGTCGAATTTATGTATTTGATTCAATTTATCATCGCTGCTGATGTCCTCGGTGATATCTGGGGATCTGGTTTCAATTTAGTGCGTGATTTAAAAGTAACGCTTTTAGACGGGTATATTTTTCCAGTGAGGAAAACTAAATACTTGCGCACTCGGGGGCTTCTCGAAAATGAACGCACCGTTTTAGAGGGGAAGTGAGCGAGAGGACGCATTTTTGTTTTTACACGTCAAAGAGCCTACGTCATGACAGCGCTATAAGTTGAGAGGTGATCCAATGAGTAAATTGAGAGGTGATCCAATTGAGAGTAAATCCAATAGTCTGCGTCACGTATTTCATGAACGACCTCTCACGGCTTGCAGGCTTATATTGGGGGAAAATTTGGCCTATTTTCGATACATGAGAGCCGCTCTCACAGCAATTTAGTAATTTTTTCTTTTTCTCTTTTTTTGTGAACGTATCAATTTTAACGGTCAAAAATTGTTTTTTTAGATTTGTTCATAATTTGTTAAAGGCTTTCGAGTACATTTTGAGAGCTGATTCCGAGAATGACGTCCGTTTTTCAGGACCAGCTCGATTTTCCCTGGAAAAATCAGCATTTCCCCTAAAAATAGAGTTTTACCTGAGAAAAGTCACTGCTCCGGATAATCTGTGCACGATGGAGAAAAACTAAGGTCAGTGTTGAATTTAGCAGCCGCGTATTGCATGCCTATAAATATATTTCCCTTCTGATCCTAATTTCGAGGCTGTTCCGGTCAAGTGTTCCCCTTCTTGTCATACCACCATGTAAAGCTCATCCAATTGTTTTGCATCGAAAGGAGGCAAAATTTTCTTTTTTTCAGATAGCATATGTGGTTACTCCCTCTCAAGCCGAAAATGATCTTAGTTTTCCTCCAAAACCTACCAAATTCTACCGGGGAAAATCAAGTTGATCCAGGTAAACGGAGGTCATTTTCGGAATCAGCGCTAGAAATATACTCCATCTCCACTTGCAAAGGGCCAAATCGATTCGTATTGACAGTATAATTTCATTTAACCTACACTGAAAAAAATGATATGCTGTTTTAGCACCTAGGATGTCAAAAATGCGTCTGGTGATCTCAAGATGCTACCTTTTCTGCCCCCGC